ACAGTTAAGAACTTTATATACCAATAAGAGGCTGGTAGTGAACTGGCAGTCAGTGCAGATCTTCAAGCACAAGTGTAATATGCTAACAGACTCCTGTCAGCAATCGTGCCACTGCATTTTGCACTAATTGCAGTTTCCGGACAAAAATGGGAAATCCCATGTAGAGGACATTGCAGTCGACTAGTCTTGAAGTTACATCCTCTTACAGCAATAGTCTTCCGTTGAAAAGGATGAATGTGGATGAAACAGGCTTTACTCAGCCTGTACCAACATGAAACATGGGATCAGCATTGAGCTGCCAGAAATCTCGCCAGATCCAAGTTGAGCCATTAGGCTTCAGGACCAATACAATAAGGCTACACCATAATAATTCCACAGTATTCTAACTCAGCATTGCCTGAAACTCTGTAAAGCCCTATATGGCCTAGGACCCTCGTACCTATGGGACTGCCTCTCCTGGTACGCCCCACGGAGGACCTTACGGTCTGCAACTAATAACACCTTGGAGATCCCGGGCCTCAGAGAGATTAGGCTGGCCTCGACCAGGGCCAGGGCCTTTCTGGCCTTGGCCTGATGGAACACTCTGTCACGAGATCAGGGCTCTGTGGGATTTGACATCTTTTCACAGGGCCTGCAAGACAGAGTTGTTCTGCCAGGCCTTTGGTCAGGGCTCAGCCTGACTCCCCTTTTCTTTTTGTATAAGAACTAATATGAAAGAGGCCTCCCAGCATTCTCACAGGCCCATATAAGATCATCAGTTGGGCCGATGAGCACTTACTGTTCCTAACCCTAACCCTGTGGAAAGGCATCTAATTAGATTTTAATTTGATTTTGACCTATTTTTAGGATGTAATTTAATTGTTTGATTTTATACCAATGTTATATATCTGATGTTAGCCACCCTGAGCCCGACTTCAGCCAGGGAGGGCAGGATATAAATAAAAGATTGTTGTTGTTGTTGTTGTTGTTATTGTATGTTGCATTCTGCATTCCTTTGGGCAGTTGCACCTTCCCAGGAGTGGTATTGTACTGCTGGGATTAAATAAATTGTGGTGCAGATTTGACATCAGTGAGGCTGCCTGGTCTTTCAGCACACTGCCCTTATTCTGCCTGTGCTGCTTATGATTATCCCTATTAGTTGAAAACTGGAATTCAGTTGATGCCCCCTGGTGAATTCATCTGTTCCAGATGAGTTGAGAGAAATGCTCCTCCCATGCCAGTCATGCAACAGATTCAGAGTAAATACTTCAGAGGTCTGACAAGTATTGTGTAACCTTAGGCTTATTAAAAATCCTTATCCCCAGGTATATTGTTTTTCCTTATTATGGTACCTTTTCTGATCTGAACCCTAGTCAAGCTATTCTGTATATAATCAACACCATCTATAAACACTACTGATTTCTGTATCTGAGACTCCAGGGTTGCTGTGTTCGTTCTGTCCCATGATTCCCCTATGGAAGATGGTGAGCTGTGGGAGAGAGGAAGGGGATAATTCCAGGGAGACCTGTGGGACTGCCTGAAAAGCAAACAACACAGGATCAGGAATTGTATCTTTGTGGTTGAGATGGTATATACAGGAGGGTTTTATTAAAGCACTTGACCAAACCATCAAAGAGGAAGGGGTGTAGCTCATTGGTAAAGTATCTGCTTTGCATGCAGAAGGTCTCAGGTTCAATCCTGATCATCTCCAGGTATGGCTAGGAATGTTAGTCCTGCTGCCAGTCAGTGCAGACAGTAAAGCGCTAATTGTCCTGTTTTGGTTTATGGCAGCTTTGTAATTTCCCAGAGGCTGAAAATTGTTCCTCTTATGAGACTCCGTAATGGTGATATTAAAGCAAATGCAAAGGATGATTGGAGATAAGCTGGTGGCATACTTCAATCCAGGCAGAAAGATTTACCAACAAGCTATTCCCAGGGCTTTCGTATTATGTGGACACAACTCAAAACAGCAAACAGCATCATCACCCACCACTAGAAACCAATAGGCTATTCAGTCCAGTCACTGGGAAGAGCATTGTAAGATGTTCCAGGTGAAATGGTCAACACAAGTAGAAGCTATCAGGGGCCTTATCTCTATAACCTGACCCAAGGTGGGATGAACTTCTGCTGGATGGATACATCCTGGTTTATACTTCTGCAGAAAGAAATGTTGCAAAAGGACACTTGAATATTGTCTGGACGTGACATTCATGGGTAGCTTGTAATATTTAAAGCACCCTTTGCAAAACCGAATGCCCTCCATATGTTTTGGGCTACAACTCTCACCAGCCCCCTAGTTAGAATGCAAGATTGCTTAGTCCAGTCTACCTTGGGCAAAACCATAGTAAATTGTAGAATGACCAGGCAATCTCAAACAAGAGTTTGATCAATGGCTGGAAAGAAGATGAGTTTTCTCTGCTTTACTGCTGTTATTGCCCTAACTTGGGGGTGATTTTCAAAGAAAAGTTCTGGTTGAGTGTCCCTTGTCTTCTCAGCAGTAGCACTTGTAGTGAATTTCCTTCCTTTTAGGGTGGGCAGAAGGTAGATCTATGTCTGCTGGTAGATCTCAGGGCATTCTACAACAACAACAACAACAACAACAACAACAATTTATTATTTATACCCCGCCCATCTGGCTGGGCTTCCCCAGCCACTCTGGGCGGCTTCCAAAAAATATATTAAAATACTGTACTACATCAAACATTAAAAGCCTCCCTAAACAGGGCCGCCTTCAGATGTCTTGTAAAAGTCTGGTAGTTGTTCTCTTTGACATCTGGTGGGAGGGCATTCCACAGGGAGGGCGCCACTACCGAGAAGGCCCTCTGCCTGGTTCCCCGTAACTTGGCTTCTTGCAGTGAGGGAACCACCAGAAGGCCCTTGGTGCTGGACCTCAGTGTCTGGGTACAAGAATTTCTGACTCCCAGTTGCTTGAAAAAAGCAGTAACAAGTAATTAACAAGTGCTGCCAACACATTATACTGCTGGAATGAAGAAAGGTTGGGAAACCTGCGTGGAAGGACTGTGAGCTTTGTTCGATTCAATCCTCAAAATTAGTTCCTAGGCTCTGAATTCTTAGTGTGTGTGTGTTTTGAATCTGACTCTGGTTCAAGGATCTTGGGGTTCTAGTAAAAAAGCAATATCCCACAAGCCTGAAGTCTGCCGGTACCTGATGTAGGTGAGTTGCAGGCTACTTCCTTCTAGCAGTGCCTTTGGGAAAGTAGCTAATGCTTCTTTAAGTGAGAGGAGAATGGGAACTTTGCAACCCTTATAAACTTGGTTAACTGCAAGGGATAGCAGATTTGCCTGGAACCTGCATAAACTGATAATAGTGTGATTGAAGAAAAGGACATTTTTGAAGACACATAGCTGGCTTGGGACTATATGGCAAATATAACAACAGATGTACTGAGTTTTGTGTTGCGTCCATTTATGTTTGTATGCTATTGAAATTTTGAATAAAAATGCTTTTTTAAAGAAAGGAACATAGCTATTCTGCCAAGGCATATGCTTTCAGTTTAATTGTCGTATGGTGCTGCTATGAGAGGGAAGATAGGTTTTGGTGAAGTCTTTCCCTTCCACCTTTCCAGTGTGGGAGTTCTGAAAGGAAGTGAAGATCTATGAGGCTCTGAAAGCAGAACAAACTGGCAGGGTTGAATCTGCCATTCCATGAAGTATGAACAAATCTAGCAGGGCCTCAAACCTATTTAGCCCCTTTCATCTGTTGGATTACAGACCAATCAGAGATAACTGCCTGTCAGACCCTGATATCTCCTCTGAGTGTCCATAGTCACGTGATTTGAGTGCCCGTCTTGTAGAAGGTGTCCTGTCTGCCCAGAGGCTTCCTTTTCCTTTGGATATTTCTGAACTCGTGGATGATTATTACTTATGAATTGCCTTTTGTATTTGTGTCAGAAAGTGATTTGAAGTCGTATCACAGGAGTAATGAGTGATGGTCTTATGGCATCTGCTTATCATGTCCTGACTTTGCCAGTTGTGGAGGCAATGTGTGAAGGAGTCTGAGCTACAAGGAATGAAACATGAACAATGAAATATTTAGTGGTGGTTTTCCTCAATTATATTTACCCATGGTAAAATAACTACTGTCACAGGATAAGCCTGTGTGGTGGCTGGGCCCTATAGACAAGAGAGAGGGTGTCCAGTAAAAAAAAAAGACAAAACAGATGCTAACTGTTCTTGGGACCTTCTGGTTGCTCTTGCACCTTCTCAGGTGTGCACAGCAATTCTTTGCAGTGGGTTTGGGAAGCCTAAATGGTGTCCCCACACAATCCCTTTTTACATCAGCTAAATTTAGATGCATGAAAGGGTTGCTTGGGCCGGGTGTTGCTTCTGTAGCGTCCGAAGCAGGGCTTCATCTCTTCCTGCTTACCTTCCAACCAATCTTGAGTTTTCCTTAGGGTTATCCCAAGTCAACTAGCCTCTCCATAACATCTGCCCATGGGCATGTGATGATGTTGAAACAGAAAAGTAATGAGCTATGCGGTCTGAAAGTTTGTCAGTTTGTATGTTAAACCCTGAACAATTTCTGTTGTATATTGACATTAGTGTGAAACTGATGTGCAGATTATCACATTTTGCATTTGGTCCATTTGAATGTTACACTGCATGTTTTTGCAGGAAAATACGCATGTGTACAAGCAAAGTGCAGCTTCATGCAGTTTTCATGTTCTAGAAAACCTGACTGTATGAAGCAACCCTAACACCATCGTATTAAATGGCATTTGGCCAAATCTTTCTGCGAGTGTCAGTCAAGTAGTTAAAGCAGTGTACCTGATCATTACTTTTTTATTTCTTTATTTTATTTTTGGAGGAAAATGTATTTAGCGCTATGGTCTGTTAAGACAAGAGAATACATGGCAGTCCAAAGAAAGTATTAGGAAACTGAAACAGTTTGCACAGATGACATTTTCTGAAGATTTGTTGTGATTCTGTATGCATATTTTTTATTATTATGACCTAATCGTTTAATGAGTATTCAACATTCTCCTTTCCCTCTATTAACAGATGGCGCACTGCGTGACAAAGGTGGAACTGTCCATATCATGCGATAATCTGCTTGATAAAGATGTTGGCTCAAAATCTGATCCTCTATGTGTCCTGCTTCAAGATGTTGGTGGAAACCAATGGACCGAAGTAAGGAATTGTTTGTAGTAATTTGAAAACTACCAGAAGTTGGCAGTGTCTCCTTTCTGAACACATCTGAACACTTGACGTTTTGATTAAAATTAATTAAGGATTAATATTTTACAGGTTTAAGCAATTAAATGAGCTAAATGACAACAAAATCTCACAAGTTTTTTTTTGTATGTCCCATTTTTTTTAATAAAAAAATTACAGGGCTTTTACGTAGCCCAAGCTTTTTAATCATGGAAGTTTTTATAAATTAGTTTTAACTGAATTTTGTGTTTGCTAATTCATTTCCTCTGGCTTTTGGTGGAGAAAGGAGGCCGGCAACAACATAGCATCAGCATTTTTAATATTCCCATTGTAATGCTGAAAGTTCCACTATGTTATCAAATATTTTTACTGTTTGAAGTTGCATTTGGAGACAGTACATCTTTAGTTACCCCAGAGTCAACATACCCAACTTTTTCCTCTCCTCCCCTTCTGGTTTTACTCAACATCCAACCTGAAAAAGTGTTCAGGAGAAATCAGAAGCCTGTTCACAACTTTGGTGTTTTGGTTGTTTTGACAAAAAACTATTACTATTATGCAGTTTGTGGGGATTTATATATATATATATATATATATATATATATATATATATATATATATGCAGGTTTTGGTGTTCTCGGGTGTCTTCCCGTGTAAAAGTTGGGGTGTCTAGGCGACGTTTCGACGAGGTCTCACTCGTCATCTTCAGGCTGGTGCTTTCGGCTTCTTGTTACTGGAACAGAGCAGGATCTCAGTGTTTGAGTTCCTATAAATACTGTTGAGGGGGTGTGGTGTATAGCCTCCAATGTTCTGGGCAGAGAGGAAGTTCCCAGGCTAGTGTGCCTTTTCTTCTTTTGTTCCTTAATTACTTGAGGGATATCTTGAGTGATTTCTTGAGTGATATTCTGAGTACCACTTAGGTGGGTCATTAGGTGTGGATTAGTTGCTAAAGCCTTCGTGTCTTGACCTCTTGAACTTTGTGAAGAGTTTTTCTGAGAAGATGGTTGTACTGCACTTAGTTGTGCTCTGGCTTGGCTTCGTGTATAGGGGCGAGCTGTGGTTTTGTGCCCTGTGCCAGCCAGATCTGTGTAGGGATTGCAGGGGGGTGCAGCATCCGGAGGTGCCACCATGGTTTGGCTACTGGATGGTGTCTGTAATTTATCTGTGGAGAGGGTCTGGGTTTGGGTCTGGTGTGGTTGATTGGTGATGGCGTTCTGTGTGCCTCTGGATCTGGTGTCGGTTTTTGTGGGGAGGGCTAATTTCCAGATGTCTGGCAGGCGGGACGTGTCGTCACGCTTGTTCATGTTGTGAGGGTGTTTCTCTATCCTCTCTGCCCAGAACATTGGAGGCTATACACCACACCCCCTCAACAGTATTTATAGGAACTCAAACACTGAGATCCTGCTCTGTTCCCAGTAACAAGAAGCCGAAAGCACCAGCCTGAAGATGACGAGTGAGACCTCGTCGAAACGTCGCCTAGACACCCCAACTTTTACACGGGAAGACACCCGAGAACACCAAAACCTGCATTCCTGTACCCGTGAAAATCTACGAAAGCAAATATATATATATATATATATATATATATATATATATATATATATATATTTATTTATTTTGGACCAGCATGATTGCCCATAACTCTTGTTATTTTTTTGTGTCTTCTACAAGTAATTGACAGTTGAAAGATTGAAGGCAGTATATTTCTGTACTGGCCTGGGTCACATGGAGTGCCGATTTCAAACAATGACTAAGCCTGAGCAAGCAAGAATGTGAGCACACAGAGCAAAATCTGCAGTTGGCCTTGCTGCTCCCCCAGGCTTACTGCTGCTGCACTAATCAAAACTAAGCCATGCCATGGTTTAGCATATCATTACATGGGAACCCAGGTTCATGGTTTTGTCTCCTCCAAGCCATGAGCAGCAAGCCAAAAACAAACTTGTAGCTGCACTTTGTGGTTTGCTTGGAGCGAGGCAAACAATGAGCTTAGGCTCAGACATAATTTTAATCTCATACTATGGTTTAGGGGAGAAGCAAAGTGGCCATGATTTTTTGCTTTGTGTATTTGCATGCTTGCTTGTTCAAAATATGTCATAGTTTGACTTAGCATTCCATGTGACTCAGGCCAGTTTATGACCTGAACAACCTACAGAAAGAAAGGACATTGGTGTTTTCCTTTGTATTTTTGCTTCTTTGGTCCTTAACGAGAAGACCACCATGGAAGATATGCTTCCATGAACTGTTTCCCCTGTGGTAAGCAGCCACAGGAAAGTGTTGTGTAGGAAACTGCTTTATATCAAGTCAGATGATTGGTTCCTCTAGCTCAGTATTTTTGTCACTGGCTGGCAGAGGTGCTCTAGAATTTCAAACAGGAGATGCAGCCAAAGTTAAACACCTAAAATTGCGTAATTTTGGCATATTGAACCATTTTTCTTCCTCTTAAGTTAAAACGAAGCACTTGTAAATCCAAATAGTGTCAGAGGGGTTAAGAACAGGCTTAAATCTCTCCCACTGAAAGTAGAACTTAGAAAGTACTTAACTTTGGTTAGATCACACCTCTAGTTTTCTGTTGAAGAATGTGAGTGTTAAGCATGACATTTCCCTTTCTTGTTGTATTGTTACAGTTGGATCGAACTGAAAAAATAAAGAATTGCCAGAATCCTCAATTTTCAAAGAAGCTGCGAATTGATTACTATTTTGAGAAAGTTCAGAAACTGAAATTTGGCATTTACGACATCGATAACAAATCCTATGACTTAAATGATGACGACTTTCTTGGAGGGGCAGAGTGCACCTTGGGACAGGTACTGGAAAACAAGTACTGTAATGCTACATGCTACTTTTTAATCTTTTAATTACACAGATGAAAGGAGGAGTTAATCTTCTGAAAGCTTTCAGTTAAGAGTAGAAGTACTTGTATCAATTGCCTCCCTTTGCGTGGTGGTGCAGGACTCTATGGACCTGCTTGTTTGCTGGACACCAGCAAACATCAGTCTTGCCAACCATAAAACCAGACCTCACTGTGACTATTGCACGTGACAATAATTCCATGATAGAGTTGTTCTCATCCCCACCCCTCGGCTTTGAAATAGACGTTGACCTTATGCCTGATGTATGCTGACTCTAAGTAACCCAAAATGTGAGGTGTGGCATGGCATTGCAGGAGTGCTCACCCCCACATGAGCCAATGAAATACGGTAGGAAAACTTACAATGCAGCAATGTTATGATGGCAGCAAGGATAATAAAAATTCTTCTTATTATTATTAAATTTCTATCCCACCCTTTATTCAAAAATCACTGGGTGATTTACAATATAAACACACACACACACACACACAGAGAGAGAGAGAGAGAGAGAGAGAGAGAGAGAGAGAGAGAGAGAGAGAGAGTTTAAAAGGCCATAGAGGAATATGTTTGCCTGCCTCCTAAAGATATATAACAAAGGCACCAGGCAAGCCTCCCCGGTCCCTGGGGACAGCATTCCATAAGCAGGGAGTAGAAAAGGTCAGTTCTCATGTTGCTGCCCTCCTGACCATTCCTGGAGGAGGCACATGAAGAAGGGCCTCAGATAGTGATTGCAGGGTCCGAATTGGTTCATATGGGGGAAAGCGATCCTTGAGGTATTGCAGTCCTTAGCCCTTTAAGGTTTTATAGGTTGAAACCAGTGCTTTGAATTGGGCTTGAAAACTAATTGGCAGCCAGTGCAGTTCCTTCAGGATTGGTGCTATATGCTCTTGTAAGCAACCTGGCCCTTGTAAGCAACCTGGCCGCTGAATTCTGCACCAGCTGAACTGTTTTCAGAGGCAACCCCATGTACCAGAACATAGACAACAGAAGTTAGGCTATCCCTATCTGGATAGGGGTGCAGCTGGGTCCCCAGCCAAAGCTGATGGAAGGCACTCCATGCCACCAAGGCCACCTGAGCCTCAAGCGACAGCAATGGATCCAGTGGCACCTCCATGCTATTCCTTCAGAGGGAGTGGAACTCCATCAAGAGCAGGCCACCTCCCATCCATGTGATCTAAGGAACCACCCACTAACAGAGCCTCTGTCTTATCTGGATTGAGCTTCACTTTATTGGCTCTTATCCAGTCCATTACCAAGGCAAGGCAACAGTCCAGCACACCCACTGCCACACCTGTGGATGTAAAGGAGAAGTATTACATTGCTGACAATGAAAGCTCCGGATAAGGGGCTGCTGCGCTGGTGGCAGCAAGTCATCTGCCATAACACTGTTGTTACAGCATTGGATGTTGTCCTTAGGGCTGAGTTACACAATCCTTTCAGTACCTTGGCATGTGAGTTTACTTGATCCTTATTGTGTTTGTCCTTTTAATTTAAAATAATGCATCCTGAGGCTTTGGGAACTGTCTGAAAATCCAAATGGTTAAATCACGTAAAAGTTCTATTCTGTTTCTCATTACACTTATATAGTTACATTGACATGTATCTTGGCAAATGCTTTTGGGATTCATGATAAAATTTCACACTATGTAAATAGTTATGATTGGCTGTTATAACTGATAGCTGCAAAAATGTCCGTTGCGTTGACAGCATGTTAATTGGCTTCTTGCCGATGATATTTCTTCCTTCGCATTTCTGCCTCAGGGTAGAATATATCACTTTATGTGACTTTTGTAATGGATGCATAGATTTCATTCCTCTTTAGATTGTGTCGAGTAAAACTGTCACTCAGCCTTTAATGCTGAAGAAAGGAAAACCTGCAGGAAAAGGCACTGTTACGGTAAGAAACTCATTTCTGGCTAGTTTAAGGTTCCTCTACAATTTTTTTCACCAATAATTGCTTTGGGGAACCCTTTAAAATCCTTGTTAGTGGTCCCCCATAGCTCAACTGCGTGGCTCATAACTACTAGGAGCCATTCATTCAGTGTTTGGGGGGGGGGCGTGTTCCACATTTATGGAATTCACTCCCAACTGAGATTAGACAGGCATCCTTTGCTGAACTTCAATCACATGACAAAGTCTTCCTTATTTCAGCAGGCATTTTAAGGTAATTTTCTGGTTTTACTCACAAATTGAATTTTGAGTGTTTTTCTTTTAAGAATATATATACCATTAATTTTAAATATTAAGTGATATATAACTATCTGAAATAAACATAAATTTAAAAATTATGACCGATTTCACAATTACTCCACTTTAACAGACAAAATAGTGTTTTTTAAGTGTCATATTAAAAAAAAGTGATCCAATACAAAAGCTATTGGGGTACATGGGAAATCTCAATGTCTATTTAAATTCTTTATTGGGCTATCAGGAAGCCCTGGAGGAGAAAAAGGGAACTCTGAGTTATTGGCTTATAACAGAAGAGGAAACAACACAGAAACCAAATAATACCTAAGTGAAATACTGGCCTCATAGTAAATAGTGGAAGTGGGCCAATGTACCTCAGTAACCTCAATGGCCTAATGAGGTTTGCTGTTTGTATTTTCTTTTTCCAAATAAGAAATAAAACATTTCAAGTTTAGACTATGTTAACTCCTGTGTCAAAGCAAAGCAGAATTAACCCTAGGTTGAAATTTACTCCTGGAGACCAACAAACCCCTGTGATCCTTTTTGTAATTGTGGGTGGGTGTGTTGTGTGTACACAGGAATGTACAGGCCTTAAAAAAAATCAAAATAGGTAAGTGATAGAGAAATCATTATATAGGCATGAATGCTAAGGGTTTGTCTATCCTATTTTGAGAAGTTGCTGGGAATAGCATAGACATTTTGTAGTTTCCCATTCATTTCAATAGGGCTAAGTCAGACCTCTGATAGTTAAACATATTTTTTCAAAAAAAAATATATGAAAAGATGAGGGGAGTGAAACAGGACAACTAACATCATTATTGTCAAATGTATGCGTGGAGTTTGAAGTGGTTCAGGTTTGCTTTTTTAAAAAAAACAACCGTTTTGCAAGTAATTCAAACAGCTTATGGATTCCACAGCAGTCACATTATCACAAACACTGCTGTTTCACGCAAATGTATTTGGAACATAATAGCTTCACATATTTCTCCTTTGGTTAAGCTAATTGTGAAGTACATTGGTGAATTTGTTTCATAATTTGTGTATTTGAACAGCCTGCATTATTCAAATTAGAAATACTTTCCAAAATTGATACACTGAAATTATTTCCCCTTGAATTTTTAGATTTCTGCAGAAGAGATTAAAGACACTAGAGTTGTGTCCTTAGATGTTGAAGCCCGGAATTTAGACAAAAAGGTAAATGATATATGAACTCTTTCCAGTTCATTCAGTACTTGAACCATCGTTTATATCCCATCTTTCCTCCAAGGAGCTCAAGGTGGTGTACAGAGCTCTCCCCACTCTATTTTATCCTCGCAGCAACCTTGTGAGGTAGGTTAGGCTGAGAGACTTGACTGGCCCACTGAGCTTTATGGTTGAGTGGGGACTTGATCCCTGGACACTTCCCCACACTGGCTCTATAGCAGTACCTGTGTGAATAGGTTTCACAAGGTATGTCATGACAGAACCAGCAAGAAGGAAATGGCAATAAGTGTAGTAATTAAGGGCTTACATGAGAATGGACCTGTCTGTTGCTTCGAAGGAATGGGGGGGGGGGGTTGAATGTGAGAGGCATGTGTGTAGACCACACTTGAAATTAAAGGTGATTATTATTATTATTTTGTAAAGCTTTTTTTATTTATTGAAGTTAATTCTTGAAGTACAGATTTCCTTGAGAAACGTAATAATTTCAGCTCTCGCTACCATGGATTTTGGTGCTTAAAGCACTTTCTAGTTTGCCTTAGCTGAGTATAGGTATGCATTATTTGCAGGCTACTAAATGAACAAAAGGACCAAACAGAAACATCTGTGACTGAAAATAAGCCATTATTCATTGAACACTTGATGTGTGTGTGTGTTGCCAGTAATAATAGATAAACTATGAATAGCAGAAAGGTATGTTGCTCTATAAGTTCTTACATGCTGAATTATTATTTGTATAAAGATCAAGGTTCTTTTTCTACACAGGATTTTTTGGGCAAATCTGATCCATTTTTGGAGTTTTATAAGGAAAGTGATGGTGGAAAATGGCAGCTTGTCTACCGATCAGAGGTAGGATTTACACAGTGATTCAACTTTTGAACTTCAGGAGCTGCTATATCTTAATGAACTCTGAATGAACTCAGTTGCAAAAAAATGGAGCTGCTACTTCTTTGGAGAAAATCAGGCAGAGGCATTATGCATAAGTGGAGCTCTGCCAATCCAAGGTTCTTCAGCCGGACTTTGGGTGATACCTCTCCATCCCACACTCTTCCAAAGGGCTTCCGATCTTCAGAAACACCTTTTCAGTGAGCAGAGTGGGCTGCATTACATAGTAATTTCTTCTGCTAGTGGTTCTCAGACTTCAACGCACTATACGTTTCTCATATTTGAGCAGTGAAAATCTCATACTTATGCCAAACTGTGCACATTCAGCTGAGATGCATGTTTAAATTTATCTAGGTATGAAACTAGAAATTGGCTTTAAAAATTACAGAAAATACATATATGTTTATTACATATACATCAAGTGTATTAATAGATATTTGCCTATAAGCAATGAGTTATGTCTTATCATAATGGTACTCTACTTTTCATCCAGAAAATTATTATGCATCTATTGGAACAGAATTATTATTTAAATAATAATAATCTGCAGAAATTCTAGGTAAGGGAATGCCATTGTCATAATGTACTTGTAGGATGAGGAGAGATCTCAGGCGCTTGATTGTAATTGGATTTCTTTTATAGGTAATTAAGAACAATTTAAATCCCTGCTGGAGAAAGTTCAGTGTTCCTCTGCAAACATTCTGTGGTGGTGACTTCAACAAACCAATGAAGGTGATGACAATGATTTAACTTTAAAAAATAAAAATAAAATACAGGTTAGAGAACCCATTTGATTTAATTATAAACATCTTTTGCAATATGAAGTCTGCCTGTGAAAGAACTAAAACCAAATAATGTGTGGCCGCCCAATAATTTAATTAGATTGCCATTATTTTTGCACCAGATTTCCTTCTGTGTGGTTACCCATTTATTTCTTTGAAATATACTTGCAGCACTGAGAATACTGGCAATATGAGCTATTCTCCATCCCTCTAACTGAGCAGAAACCTTTGTTCTGTTTATTGGTCACCTGGAAACATCATCTGCCAGAGCTGTCTTTCTGTATAGACTAGTTTTTGCAGTACATCCATTGTCGACTACAACTATGTCTGAAAATAATAAATAATATTATTTAATCCTACACGCTTAAATGTAGTTTTATGGAAGACCAAGATCATGAAGACCTAAATAGCGGCTTGAATTTTCAAAAGTAAGTCGTAGTATTGCTGGTTCTGCGGGGAAGCTTGAAAATATGACCTGAGTGTACCAAAATGCCCTTTGGAGGATGCTTGGCTCTGTTTTTAAGCTATGGTTTTTGTGGCTTAATTAATGAAATTATTATCTTCATACCCAAACATTCTAAACTATATAGTGACTGCAAAGCCTCCACGAGTCCATTGCTTTTTTAAAAAATGCACTTCAAAGTATCTAATGCAGTTGTTTAATATGCTTAATTTGCTGATGTTCAGAAGTGAAGTCATATCCATTGCCCGGTAAAATTGCCATTTAAGATAGGATTTTTAATATCCCGGCCAACCAAATTTCACAACCTGGACTTTCTAGCCTGCTTGCAAGCTTCTCACAGCCCTTGGGTGGGCAACATTTGGCCCTCCAGATGTTGCTGGGCTACAGCTCCCATCCCCCTTGCTTGTTAGCCATACTATCTGGGACTTATGGTAATTGGTGTCCAACAACATCTAAGTGCCACAGGTCTCCACCCCTGGCAGAGGCATCTGTATTGGCTACTGTCACAACAGAATGCTGGACTTAGATGGTCCTTTGATCCGATCCAGATGGGCAGCTCTTAGGTTTTGTGCTGGCTGTCTTGGTAAGTTAAGGCAGTGTTTCCCAACCTTTTTTGGGCAAAGGCACACTTGTTTGATGAAAAAAATCTCGAGGCACACCACCATTACAGCCCCGTGATGTCAGCGCGCAGCGTCGCGCCGGGAGGGACGCACGAAAGTGTAAGTTTCAATTTTTTTCCCTCCCCTCCTGTGTAAAGGGGAATGCACTCTGCTAAGTAAAGGCACTTGCCACAGCAGCGTCAACGTCACAGCACCCACCGGCACCCAAGAGAGAAGGGGTCTCAGCAGCCCTTTTGCCAGGAAGAGGAGCAAGGAGGAGGAGGAAGAGGAAGAGAGTCCCCCCCAAAAAAACATTCTCCTTTTGATCTTCCTTATTTGCAATTCCTCATTGTAAAACAGTGGTTGATATAGAGCTGATTTTTTTGTTATTACAGTCCCCACCCCCTCACCTAGAAAAACACCCCCTGTCAATTTTATTATTATCATTATTATTATTATTATTATTATTATTCCCCGCCACTCTGGGAGGCTGAAGCCCTTTAAGGCTTCCTTCTGTCCACTCTCTGTGAATTACCTGCCCGGAGCGGGTTTCTGGGGGGGGGGCGCTGCTGCCGGTGTCCTCCCCGTCAAGTCTCGCCTTGCCCGGTGCGTGGCGGCCGCCCTTTCCCACACTCTGCTGGCTGCGCTGCCAAGCCCCGCGGCTCGGCCTGTCAGCGTTACCGGGCTCGGCGGGCGGTAATTCCCGAAGAAAGCCGGCGGCGCTTGAAGAGCTGGCAAGCCCCCATTTGCATGTCTGTTTTCCGCAGCCCTTGGAGAGGATTAAGTTCCCTCCTTCCTGCCGGGGAACCTCCAAGCTTTGGGGGTGGGGGGGGAGGAGGCAGCAAAGCGAGGCAGGAAGGAGAGCGCGGCTTGGCTGGGTGAGCTTTGGCAGGGGCAGGGAATGAGAGCCGCGAGGCGGGCGCTGCGGGCGGAAGCGCTGCCCGCCGAGCTCGCAGGCAGCCAGGCAGGCAGACAGCGAGAGCCCCGCGCTGGGCGGCCTCTCCTCGCCGCCGCCGCCCCGCCTCTCGCCGCCCGACTCGCCCGCCTCCCTCCCACGGAGGTAGGCTGGTGTGCCGTGGGAGGGAGGCGGGCGAGGCGGGCGGCGAGCACACGCGGGGCGGCGAGCGAGCGAGCTCCCACATCCCATCGCCGCTCGCTTCGGCCGGCCTACTGGGCTGTCGCAGGCGGAAGGCCTGCGCATGCGCGAGGTTTTCGCGCCTTCCTCCAGTAGGCCGGCCGAAGCGAGCGGCGATGGGATGTGGGAGGGAGCTCGCTCGCCGCCCCGCGTGTGCTCGCCGCCGCCGCCCCGCCTCTCGCCGCCCGACTCGCCCGCCTCCCTCCCACGGAACACAAGGCAACGTTCCGCGGCACACTAGTGTGCCGTGGAACACCGGTTGGGAAACACTGAGTTAAGGCTCCTTGGGAAGAGGGAGTATTACGTAAAGGAATGGAAGATGCTAGATACCTTTAGTGAGATAGTCACAATTGGAGGAATAAAACATAAACGTTGAGGATCCTCTCAGCTGTTGCTCATTGTCAAACCTTCCATTTTTGCTGATCACAACTAGATCAGGTATTCCTAACCTGGGTCATGTCCTGGTTATGTAACTGAGGGTGTGTTAGCAGTGTCAGTAGATTATCTCTACTTGGAGATTAATGAAGGAAATTTTGACTTTAGGGGGTTTATAAGAACTTACAGCAAGAGCAGTTGATAGTACAACTGTGGGACCTGGCGTGTGTAAATAGGCCTGCGGTAAGTTGACTCAGCTCTTAACCTGCCCAGCCATTCCCAGGGGAATCAGATGAACAGTCATTCTAATAACCTTCTAGTAACTGTCCTTGGGGTTGTGCCAGAGTGCTCTCATTCTTCTTTGTTTATTCAGAATATGCATGAGCATGCTGGATGACAGCACCAAATTTGCCCCTATAAAAGGCTCCTAAAAGCAAGGAGAGAAGAGCATTTTACATTCATGTATCTTTCTGGAGCTGCACTTGCAAAAGCTTTCCCTGCCTGAGCAGAGGGAGATTGAAACTAAGCAGAGCCAACTGAAACTAAATCCAAGACAAGAGTGATAATGGCTGGTGTGTAGATAGATCAGGGGATAAAAGATGAAAGGAGCATAGCCTCCTTGGTTCAGTCAGGTTTGCAATTTGATTTTCAAGTGTAAACCAGGAGCACTTGTCACCTCCTAATCTGGTGAGAAGGCTGCATTTCCCCCCTATCTATGCCATTGCTGAAAGGTACTGCTTTTCAATTGATGGTGTTCTAGGATGCACACTGTTGGCTTGTGCTGTTTTAAATCTTACTCTACTCCTAAAAACACATCACTGAATGTTGGTCACAAACAAATTAGAGAGATATGCATTCAAGATAATATATTTGCGATCAAGCCACTTATATGTAAGCCATATATTGTATCTAGATGTAATTCCTATCTTTTCAGTCTGCTGGTAAACAAGGGCAGTGTTGAAAGCTACCTCTTGTTTAAACTATAGCAATTACTCAAAAGTTATTTTAAGCCCCAAATACATAGCAATTCTCACTTGAGTCCTGTGTTCCTTCCATTGCAGACTATCTAAATGGCTTAGCATGGACATTCAGGTCATATTTCATTTGACTTTTGAGAATGAGGCTTGCAGGTTTTTGCATGACTAGATATCACCAGGGAAGAGTATTCATGCAAAGTTCTTAAAATAGAGGGAACTTTGGATTATACGGTTTGTGTTAAGGCTCTTCTTTGCTGTTGAATGTCTTGGGTTTTTGTGCTGTTTTTGTTTTGTTCCCGTTGTTTCTTTTTATAAGACTTATATAAGACTTAATTTCAGTTGATTGCTTGGCTTCTATAACTGGATTTTTACTTAATTTAGCTTTGGAACAGTCATTTTCTTCTTCTTTTTATCTGCTTAGCATTTTAGTTGCATTTCCATTGCCTACTAAACAGGTTCGTACCCATGGCTCTCCTCAAGGACTCATTTTTGGGTCTCTCTCTTACTATTAGGTTTCAGTTAGTGATATGGATGACAGCACCAGTTCAGATTTGATAGGGGAATTCACATGCGCCACTGCAAAGCTGTTGGAAGCGAGAGACCAAGCGGTGAGCAGCAGTCATTCTCTATTATAAAGTTCTGCTTGTCCATTGCCTGCTGTTTCTTTCCTTTCAGGTGCACTGTTCAGATTATGATAGTGATGGGTCACATGACTTGATAGGCATTTTTGAAACTAACCTCTCCCAGCTACAGAAGGCAGGTGGCAGCTCTCCGGTGAGCTTTTACTTTTACCTTCTTTTATTAACTAATTGAACCTATTTCTCATTGCAAAGAAGAATCATAGAAACAATAAATTTATTCTCACACAGCTACAATTCCCAGCACCCTTTACAGTTCCTAGGAAGCAATAGATGTTGTATTTTAAGTCATCCCAAGATATCTAATTTCTACTTTCTGGTTTACCGCGAGGGGGAAAGGAAGCCAGGCTTGCTATCGCAGCGAACTGGTTGCTGCTTTTTGGAGTTTTTAGGCAGCTTGCAGGCAACGAGTGCCCCAGAGAAGGTCCTGGGGACGACCAGGACATTGAGGGTTCCCGTAGAGGTCAAAAGCGAGCTCCCAACGGATCTGCATGGTTCCATTTGGTGCCGGGCTGACCTGGCGGTCAAGCTGTGATCACTTGCCAGTATGCATGGCTACCATTATTTTTTTCTAAGTTGGGTCTTGTCCTGTGTATCTTAAAATGTGAACTATGTGGTTTCATTTCATTAACTAGAACAAGTTCCTTTGATGTGTGTTGCTTTCTTTGTAGGTGGAATTTGAGTGTATTCACCCTGAGAAGAAGAGAAAGAAGAAGAGCTATAAAAACTCTGGCATTGTTCGAGTGAAGTCTTGCAAAGTAAGGAGCATTTCATACAGAAGAGTTTGCTATTCTGTGATTGTAGGGTAGAAGTTGTAACAGTTGTGTGCTGTTTTTTTCAGATTGAAATGGAATATTCTTTCCTGGATTACATCATGGGAGGCTGCCAAATTAATTTCACTGTGAGTTGGGTCACCTGTTTACATGCCTTTTCCACCTAAGTTAAAACATAACTCAAGCATTTATATATTCCTGTGAAAAAGCCATTGCACTTAAACTGGACAAAAACCTGTTTACTAGATCTGTCAGTGAATAAGTTTGCTGCTTGTATATCTGCCAGACTAAACAAAATGAATTCACTGATCTTTCTAATACATAGTCTCCCTGGTTGCATTCTGGGGGAACCTAATGTTTGGCCTTTCTTCAGCTGCCTTGGGTTTTTTAGTGGTTATTTCAGCAGCATTCTTCACTGGTGTTAGGTATGCTTGAAGTCAACTTCCATGAATGTTGGGCTTTCTTTGGTTGCCTGTTTCTACAAAGAAATCTTAGCTTTGTGTTCTTTGTTATTGTGTCAGGTGGGCATAGATTTCACCGGCTCCAATGGAGATCCAAAGTCACCAGATTCTCTTCACTATATCAGTCCAAATGGGATAAATGAATACCTGACTGCCATCTGGTGTGTGGGGAACGTGGTACAGGATTATGACACGTATGTTAAAACTATTTTTAGCTGCTCTAGCTGCAAGTGTTAGAAATAAGTGAAATTTAATAGAGTTAAAAGTGATGTATTTGACTGAGTATCTTCAGTCCCTTCAACCTTTATGGGTTATGCATCTCCTGCATCTCAGGCTATTGCTGAGAATGGTAATTCAGTGAGAGTTGCAGTAGATTGTTCTTTGTTTTGTTGGTTCCTTTATGAGAGTAAGTGATTGTTTTTCTTTTCTGCTTGCTCATAAAATGACACTACTGAGTCTCGGTACTTGAGAGCAGAAGCTGTAGACAGTCATGTATAAATGAAAATTATCACTGCTCATGGAATGAGTGTGCATTTTTTCCTGACATTTTAAACTGGAGGAGTCAACTCGATTACAGCATTGGCTCCTGGAAGCCTCGCTCCCCTGCACGCTTACTGCTTGCTTCGCTTTTAGCAGTTTTGGTTTCTGAGGTAGCATGCAGTTTCTGCCAGCTTGCAGCAGTGGTAACTATGAATTGTTTTTGTTCAGTTGAAGGTAACATATCTATCTTTCCTCCTCCTCTACCCCCTACATCTTTCAGTGACAAACTGTTCCCTGCCTTTGGGTTTGGAGCTCAAGTTCCTCCAGACTGGAAGGTGAGTTTCTTAGTTCAAGTGTTTCTTAATTCAAATGCATTGGTATTTGGCTACATGACTAAGTGTGTCTCTTTCCCAGGTATCCCATGAATTTGCATTGAACTTTAACCCTACAAATCCCTATTGCCAAGGTAAGCATTTAGTAATCTTCATGACCCAGTAATCGAATTTGACAAAGTGTGCATCAGAGAATATGTTCCATTAAAAAATAAAGAACAGGACCAGCAGGGCTTCTAGAGTTTTTGTCAGGATAAAGTGCATGGCTGTTGGTATATCTTCTTTGCCACTTCACCTGTTCTGTAGCCACAGTCCTCTTGGCAGCCAGTGACCACCTCTGCAAGGCTCCAAGAATTATGCTATGTGCTGCAGGCAGTACATGTTTTGCCATCCTCTGAAAATAACTGATTCACACACCCTACAAATGTGGTGAAATGGGGGAAGGCGTGTCTGCTCAACTTCAGTTATTGTGCACACATTAGATTGCCATTTCCATTTTGTGACAGAAAGGATAAAAGTTGAATAACTGTGGGAGGATTTATGGAGAACAGTGGGAAATAAGCAGCATACATACACACAAATTATTGCAATAACAATTGGTGTTTCCATTTTTCAGGAATCCAGGGAATTGTGGATGCATATCGCCAGGCATTGCCTCAGATTCGTCTCTATGGTCCAACAAATTTCTCCCCAATTATAAATCATGTTGCCAGGTTTGCTGCTCAGGCAGCACAGCAAAATACTGCTTCTGTGAGTCTGTTTGATTTAATATTTTTGATGTTTTTGTTTTTAAGTGATGGATTGGAAAAAATGTCACAATGCATTTATTTAAAGGTGTGCTAGTATTCTTTCATTACTTCACTGTTGTGAAACCATAGTCTGCCATGAAACTTCAGATAGTGAATGGATTTGTAATCAGACTCTACCCTCTAAATTCTGTGTTTTCTCTGCAATTCATTCCCATGTGGTAGAGTTAGGACATACTAAAATTCCATTTGTCTGGTGATTTCAAGTCATAGGTCCAAAACGCTTTACATTTCTCTCACTGCTTTCCCAAGGAAAACCTCTTTACTGCTGAATCAGAACAAAGTCAATCCACAGAAAACCTGATTGATGTTTGTTCTGATTCAGCAGTAAACAACAGGTTTTCCATGAGAAAGCAGTGGGACAAACCTAAAACCTATTGGACCCACAACTTGAAATCACGGGACAAATGGAAGTGTGCGTGAACCTTTGAAGTACTAAAGCCTAGGTTATCCAAAATGATTTCAAATAAAGCTAACATGAAATAGCTGGTTTGAGAATTGAACTGGGTTTTTAAAGTTACTGTACTGTATTTTATTGTTTTCAATCCAGTTTGGTTTTTTTTACTCTTTCATGCTTTACGAAGTTGTGAGACACAGTGTGCAGATCGTTCTTTATATTTGAGCAAACACAGAAGTATAAAAACATCAGCCCTTCAGTCCCTTAACTCTTGCCTAAGATTTGAAGTCAACCTCTATTGACTAATCTAATTTTCTTGCAGCAATACTTTGTCTTGCTGATAATCACAGATGGGGAGATCACCGATCTGGACCAAACCAGGCAAGCCATTGTCAATGCCTCCAAGCTGCCCATGTCTATCATTATCATTGGAGTTGGGAGCGCTGAGTTCAATGCCATGGAATTCCTTGATGGAGACGACGGTGTTCTAAAGTCCTTGTCAGGGGAACCAGCTGCACGAGATATTGTCCAGTTTGTGCCCTTCAGGAGGTTCCAGAATGTAAGTTGAAGAATACCTAACTCTTCCAGATAGTTATACTTTGTCAGCAGGCAATATTATTTACTTCTTGAAAACTCTTTGGTTCACACATAATGCTACAATGTAGGCAAAACAAGCCAAGTTTCATAATCCAACCACAAACTATAACTTCAGATTGTGTTTTGTTGGCAGTAAACAAATCATAGTGAGGCTTCTGGACACAGTTCACACGTAGTGCTAAACCATGGTTTAGTAAACCATAATCCGTAGTTTGACCCAGAATTTCTCATAGCATTGTTTGCAAAAAATTTAAATAATTAATAACAACAATGTCCAAAGCCAACTATGAAAACCATTCCTTTTCTTGCTCTTGTTGTCACTGATGTTGTCTTGCTCTTTCTTCGTTACAGGCTCCTCGTGAGGCACTTAACCAGTCAGTGTTAGCTGAAGTTCCTAAGCAACTGGTATCCTACTTCAAAATGCTTGGCCTGAATCCCATTAAGATGCCTTCAGAAAAACAGCCATAAAGCACAATACCTTTCATTTACAAGGAAAAGAATACTGCATATAGAGCTTTCCAGTGAATAGTCCTTTCCCCTATGTATTACTCTGCATTCAAAACAATATTTCTGTACTTCCAACATATATTGGGAATATGATATATTTGCAGACAGTATATAGGAATACTAGTGCTCTTGGCAGTTCTTATTAGAAAATTGACGAATACCTTATGGCCAAATCCATTTGCATTCTGTCTACCTGCCCATGCTGTGCAGCACACAATCCTAGTGAAGAATCTTGGGTTTGTTTGTTTTTTAAAAGTCAAGATCCTAGCCCTTGATTTAAAAGAAAGCTTTTTTAATTTTAATTTTTCTGCTGAAGTTGCAGAACCTGAATGGAGCTTGGGACATGGTTTTCAGAAGGTGGTGAAACTTCTTATATCACAAAATGGCTGCTAATGCTTGCTTCTGTCCCTTGCTGATTTATATCCCATTCCCATATTATTATTTAATCTGCTCAACCCTTCACTGCATTTTTAGTCAGTTGTGAAGGTTCATTCATAACAAATTATGAAAACACCAGATATTTGTACTAAAATTACAAAAAAAACCTAAAAGGGGAAAAATGGCCAGGTATTCATGCAGCTCACTAAAAAGAATTGTCTTGTGAGTGGTTGCTTCTCTCAGTTTAGAATGTATTTGAAATCTAGCTGCTATAAAGTTTACATATATAGTTATATATTACTTACCATGTATTGCTGGATGGTCTCTTCTGTGTCTAGAAAGAGAAATCATTTTGCATTGATATATACCAAAATCACTGATTGCCTTAATTTCTACTATGCCTTTATGGAATGCCAATGAATTTTTTAGTACTTTATTTACAATGAAACCTTAAGCTTCAGGTCCCAAAATCGAATGCAAATCAAGAGATTCTTGCTTCAAAGGTGCTGTTTACATATAAAAATTCTTTCTCAAGGGCATTTTGGTCAGTGTGTTTCAAACTGGGCTGTGCACTGATATGCAGGGGAGAGCAAGTGAGGTAATTTGTGTTTCTGTCTCTGAATTATCACTTAGGAAAAGGGATGTGTGTGGATGTACTGTTAAGCAACTGCTGCACTATCTGTCCCAGGTTTATTGCAATATTTACAATCCTGTAGTTTTATTTGTAGCAAAAGCTTGGATGCTTGCTTTAGACAACATTATTTTAGCTGTATTGTTTATAAAATGTATTACATGCTTCCTACAGCTTTTGGATTTAAGCACTTTAAAACATATAAAATCTTTATTGGATTTAAGAAAAACAGTATATGGAGAACTTTAATATTTAATACTACCAACTAATTACTAATCACTGTTCCAAAATATAAGAAAATTACATTAGAGTAAAATCTCTGTACAATACCTAAATAGCCTCTTCTTTTGAAACTTCAATCTGATCCATGCATTTATCATTTCAACAGCTGTGTGAAATGTACACTTAGTTCTCTAGGAACACAATATACAGTGAATACTACAAGCCTAGGACCTTCCTTTGCTGTTACTTCTGGTGGGTTACATGTGTTCAAGCAGTTTCTAAGAATGAGGTGGTAGATTTCTAAAGTGGGAGAATGGACCGTATCACCAGACTGCATGTACAGTAAGTAGCATTCAATGTTTTTAATGCTTCTTTGCATTTAAAAACAAAAACTAACAAACAAGCTTCTTCCTGCAGGTAGAAAACTTAGCAGAGATTTCCTTTAAAAATTATCTGGGGTAACATTTAAAAATGACACCTCCTCCAAGTATTCTGAAATAGTATAATTCCTGTTGCCACCTCAGAATGCTGTTCTGTTGCAGGTATATGCTACACCAGGCTTCCTCAACCTCGGCCCTCCCAATGTTTTTGGCCTACAACTCCCATGATCCCTAGGTAGCAGGACCAGTGGTCAGGGATGTTGGGAATTGTAGTCTCAAAACATCTGGAGGGCCAAGGTTGAGGAAGCTGCATCTGTTACAATTGAAAGTTATCCATTTCTGAACCTTAAGAAAGATGCTATGTGCAGACGAATTAAACTCTAATGTGATTATTATTTTCTTCAGTACAATAAAAGTGATAATGCATTATGATGAAAGCTGCTTGCTTCTTTTTCTTCTGGCCTGTATAAACCACTGCGATACAATGCTTACATTGCTCTACCACTTATTTCTGTCATTCACATTTCCATTTTGCAGATAGTGACTTTTCCAAAGCTAAACAGTAATTTACTGGTTGAACAGGTACTTTTTGAACTCAAACGCTGGTCTGTACTAGAGTATGTTGAAGTCTGAAATGCTTGTGCCTTTCCTTATGAAAGCTGCCATTCTTTTTAGCGGTCCTGATTTTCTGCAGATGTCAATGTAGTCCATACTTTTGGTGCCTAGGGCACAACATTGGTTTTTCTCCTGGAGTAACAGGAGAAGCACACACCATTTAACATTCAGAAACATAAATATTCTTAATCAGTTCTGTGGAAAATTGGGAGGTATACCTCTTGCAAATTGAGTTAATAATGCATCTTAGCATCTTGCTCTCCTTTTAGCCAAGTGCTTTTTGAGCAATTGTGATGCTTTGTGGGTAGCTATAGTGTGAGCTGTGTGTTATTTTGCAGTATACTAGTGTGCCCTATTGGCACATAGTTTGGTAATCCCCAATACTATATGCCAGAATATATGTATGACTAGCTCTCCAGATAATGCTGTTTATAGATCTACCCCAGTACTGTTGACTCTGACTTGCAACATCTCTTTAAGGTCTCAGGCAGAGGTCTTTCTCATCTGATCCTTTAACTAGAAATTTTGGTGATTGAACCTGGAACCTTCTGCATGCAAAGCAGATGCACTGCTACTAAATTATAGTCCCTTTTAAGACAGTCTTGATTGCAGCCAGAATAAGTTATGCCTTCCGTACATCATGGTTGTAGCAGTCTGGGGGTCTCTCTATCAGTTCTTGCTGGTCTGCTAGAGTTCAGCTGGCATAACTGGCAGGGCCTTATCATGGGGGAGATACTACACACATACTGTTTCACTGGAAATATTATTGGCCAACTTGGAATGAGAGCCTGGTTCTTTGGTAGAAAATGGAGTATTTTACCAAAGTAAGCTTTGCTTTTTTGGAAACTATTACATTGATATTCTATTGCACTGCTTGGTTTGGTTGATTAATGCTGAAAAGAATCAGTTCCTCATGTAAGAATTATCATCTTGTGTACCACAAACTCCATTAAATTTCTTTATCAAACTCAAGGTGTCTTCAGTCTCTTAATTTTAAAATTTCACAGATATAGATAGAAATTGATGTTAAGGCTTCTTTGTTACTTGAAACCCCCATTACTATGTGCAAAGACTCTGTCATTACAAACTGTTAGGTTCTTATTGCAAAGGTTATTGGAGGGAGGGTCACAGAGCTCCTCAGCACATCACTCTCATATTGACAAACACAGGAGCAAGAATGCCCAAATGGGGGTAATGTCTTTTATGTTGGGCTATGTGTGCTCATGTGTTAATTAAGTCATACACAAGGTGAGCAGAAGAGAAAAGTGTGGCTTCCTTGCTTTTAGGTGTGCTGCAAACTAAAAGGGCCATAGTATTAAGCACATCTGAGCTCAGTGTATGCAGTTATCTGCCCACTAGTGGTGCTAAATTGCTAAGCTTAAAGTTCCCCAAAATATGATTTGACTTAGAGCTATTCTCAATGGTGGCAAAGCCTGTAACACAGGATCCATGTTCCTCTGGTGCTGTGCACTTGTGACACATGCAGCTGCCCTCCTACTTGGCTTATACCTCTAGCGGCCTAATGGGGAGTGGTTGGAATGCAGTTACACAGCATATTTGTAGCCTACAGGCGCTTCAGTTTCCCCTTTTAATGGTCTTGCCTCCAGTATGTGTAGAAGTCCTTATAAACTTAATGTCATTCAAGTCAACCACATAGTTCCTATTTGGCACAGCACTGGAGAAGTACTGAATCACAATCCTTGCGTCAATCAGGTTGCTTCAAGTTGCACAAGCTCCTCTTGCTGCAGGTAGCATTCTTTACCATTCTTTAAAAAAAATTATTCCTTGTCAGTATTCAGCAAGCAAGAATACTAAAATAAAAATCAGTAAAAATAACAATGCACAGCCAATGTAAACCTGTTACACTGAGGTAGTCTGCAAAGGCAGCAAGATGTGTTGATCATTAGCTTAGATGGCTTTAATATGGGATTAGATAAATTCATGGAGGAGAGATCTATTGTTCAGTCTTTGACTTGAGCTCACCAGGTTGTGATTTCAAACATCACCAAATTATATGAAAAAAAGCAGCTAACGAAATCAATCCTAAAACTGATGTTTTTTGTTGAAAACCCAGATGTAAGCAAGTCCTCTGTACTACCCTGCTTCCTAGTAGGCAGCTGTTTGGCATACACAGAAGTGGCAACTCGTGACATTGGCCTTTTTCTCTTGATCATAAATCACACTCCACACACCCATGAGCTTTGTTTCCAGAAGGTGTAAACACAAGAAAAAGAGAAAATTGCCTTAGGTATTCATTCCATGCCATATATAAATCATCACTGCTTGGCTCCAACAGAGAGGGTGGACCGAGGGTTCATGTGCAATATGAAAACACCCTTTGCCTAGATAAATCCCAGTGTGGCACAGCTATGTTCGGGAGGGGGGAGGGAGGAGAAAGCCAATTAAATTAAACTTCCGGGAGAGCAAGCCTCATGGCAGATTGATTTTCTCTCATCAGAGGTAGACTGATGAGAGATAACTGCTGAGTACTAGCCAGATACATTTCTGACTGTGAACTCACTTTGCAAGACTGGAATCTGGGGTAAGTGGCGTGAGGACACAACAGCCATGCATCAATCCCAGTCCCTCAGACCTTGGAAAGCGGTGCAGAGCTGACTTGAAGAGGGCAGCATGACCAGCATGCCTCCTCCCCCCCCCCAAAAAAAAATACACGCAGGGCAATCGCTCCAGAAGTGCCCCCCCATGCTACACCCCTTGTTATGTGTTGGGGGTAAAAGAGACCAAGAGGTCAGAAAGACCAAGCCCCTGCTGCAAAGCAGGACCATTCACATACTGATTCCCAGCACATTGTCCCAACTACACTGAGGTACAACCACAAAGCAGGTGCAATATAGGAAAATGTGTCTGCAAATTTGCAGCTCCTGATCTGATAATTCTTCAGTTCGTTCCTCAGAACAAACAGCAGGGTCAGCCCAAGACATTTGGGCACCTGAGATGAACCTCAAAATGGCGTCCCCTTCCCTACCAGGGAATAAAGGGTGAATGAAGTTCTACAACGGAATCTGCTACCTGAGGAGGTTACCTCACCTTCCCTCACAGGTGGGCCAGCCCTGGTGGCTAGAATTAACTAAAATATTGAGAGAGATTACATGGTCTGAGAAAGAAACAGGACAGAATAATACTGTAAACATGTGCTTGACAAGGGAATTCATTTTCAAGTTTCTCAGCAAAGGAAGCAAACAGAATCTTGGAACTAAGCAGGAGGCAAGTCACATGTGCTCCACCTATTCTGTCAACAACTAGAAAAGAGAAGGGAAACACAATACGGACTGTGGGAAGTGTTATTTATGGCACTCAAGCAGAAATTATGGAACCTCCAAATGTATTTAGGATTGGCGGTGAATTTATGTTATTCACTAGATATTCCAAATATATATGAAGAAATGATACTAATACAGTGGTACCTCTGATTAAGAACTTAATTCATTCTGGAGGTCCATTTTTAACCTGAAACTGTTCTTAACCTGAGGCACCACTTTAGCTAATGGGGCCTCCCACTGCCGCCACGCCGTCGCCGTGCGATTTCTGTTCTCATTCTGAGGAAAAGTTCTTAACCCAAGGTACTATTTCTGGGTTAGCGGAGTCTGTAACCTGAGGTACCACTGTATTAGGGCTCTTGCACACTGCTCCAGACCTGAATACATCACTTGAAGTAAATTTGCAGCTTCTGATCTGATTCTTTACTTCCACTGGTTGTGTGGAGGGGGCATTATATCGAAGGTCAAGTGGAAAGATAGATGGGGCCCCAGATATATTGAACAAAGAACTGTGGTGGAGTCATAGAAAGGTAGCAGGGGGGCGGGGGAGAGAAGTCTAGAGCCCCATAGCAGAATGAGGGCCCCCAAACATAACGGCCTACTTATCATGAAAGGCCCTTCCAGACTGTTGCTTTATTGTGGGCGATTTCTGCTACATGTTGGTGACACAATAGTAATGGATCAGTGGTGAATTTATTCTGCGTTATTAGTTCTGCAACACTTCCCCAGTCCTACCATATAATTACTGTCCAGATGAGCTTTTCATGCAAGAAAAGCGTGACAAAAATAAACCATAATATTTGTGGTATAAAAAGCCACAAGGTTTTAACAGAAAGATATGGGACATGCACTGACTGGAAATGAAGCAGTGTGACCACCCCAAAATTTTTGCAGGCATAAGTAGTATTGAAAATGAGATTATGTATGAGCACCTGGATAGCATGAGGAGCACAAATCATGAATGTGTGATAAAAAGTATGGATGAAAGGGTCCAAAGTCTGTGAATAATACAAATATCTGAAGAGCCCCCATCCTCAATCAGACCATTTAAGCCCAGAGTTTAAAATTACCTCATTGACCCGCTGAGGGGGCAATGGCTGCTGTTCCTCAGCTGGCTGTGACTCGTGCTCTTTAGGCACATGGCTTGTATTAAGGAGAATCGGGGGGAGAGATAGAGGGCTGTAGCTAATGCTAGGAATTCAGTCATGTCTTATTAATTTCAATTGGCCTACTCTGAGAAGCGCTAGTACTGAATACAGCCTGGAGTGATTGGTGCCTACCCACTTTGAACGTACTTGCCAATATTGGATAATGTGTGACTTGCAGGTGGGGTCTGGGCAGCCAAACCTGCTTGGTGAGTCCCCAGGCCTGACTCACTGAGTGACGAGACAGGTGGAGCCCTGGACTGTTTAGCAGCCAGCCCTCACGCCTGGTCAGTGCTGAAGCGAGCCAAGCCCTGGCAGCACCATGGCCCTGAGTGTCAGCGTCAAGAGGGTCACCCACCTGCCAGGGACAGGGGAGCGGCAGGTGCAACTGAATTTCCGAGGTGCGGAGCGTGGGGAGGCGCCGGGAAGGAAGTCGGGGTGAGGTGGGAAGGAAAGGAAATGCATCCAAGGTTTGGGGAAGGCGGGAAGGAACTGGTAGCCCAGGAATCTGTTTGCTTTAGCCTGAGGTGATGAAAATGCATCAGGGGGCCAAGATGCAGGTGTGTGGGACTCTGTGCATTGTAGAGGTACCACTGCCTTTCCTTTTCAGTTATATGAACATGTCTGTTATGTGAGCTGTGGCCCTGCTTGTTCTGTCATGGAATATGCTTGTTCATATAACCTTGGAGAAAGTTCTGAAACCAAGGAACTCTTCATACATGATACATTTAAAAAACAACAACACAGATAGCACTCTCTTTTTTGAAAGCGCCTGCATCTGTGTGTACAACACCACATGTAACAAACATACTGATCTCTGTCTGTTTCACTGCAAGAGTGTGCTATGGGAGCTGGCCCCCATTCAGGGCTTCCCTCAACTCAAATATGTGGTGAAATAGCCATGTGTGTGTTAAACACACAGGACTGTATATACACATACTTAGTTTCTTACAAGGATGTACTTAGCTGTATAGAAAATTTGTCGTGGGAAGTAGCTCTCTTTAAGAAAAAAAGAAAACCTTTCTCCTCAGTCACACACACACCCCCTCAAAAGAAACACCTCTTAAATCTTATAACCACTTAGAAGCAAATATTCATTCCCAGTCCTATTTTTCTAGAAAGAGAGGTGCCGGAACTCACCATGAACGCTTCCCTTGTTCTCTTATAATGACAATGGTGCCCACCTGAGAGGTGCCAGAACTGAGTTCTGGTGAATTCCAGCTATTTTTTAAAAAAATCTAAATTAGCTTTTAAAAAAGGCCTGTTCGTTCCTCATATATGTACACATTACTAGTAACAAGATGTGGGGGCAGAATTCAGATTGTCCAATCACCTGAATGGACAATATTTTGTACTGGAGATAGGACAGCAAATATATATATATAGAAACCCATTCTGCAGTGTTAATCTTAATTAGAGGTTAATTTAATGGAGGTCAGCAAGATATAGGAATTATCAAAAGATCCCACTTTTCCTAGAAGATTACTTCTTGTGCAGGAAAAACCTAATGTATGAAGTAACATTCACCTCCAAGTAACTATGCTCTGGCTACAAGGGTTCTGTTAGATCTTTTAGGCAATGCTTCCAGTGATTTGAATTACCCACCTCAGAAACATTTTCACTTCTCTGTCCAAGGAGGGATTTCTCTTGCAGCTTTTTTGTCAGTCAGTCATTTCCTCTTTGGTTTCTATTTAAGTCCAGCAACTCACCAGTAGTTGTTGACTCAGGAGCTGATAACAGCCTAGTATCCTTTGTGTACATTCCATTGCAATGAAATATTTGCTAAAGGAAAGAGGTGTTCCCATCTGCTTGTTAAAAAGTGGCAGTGAATTATCAGGTCATGTCTTAGTTATGGTGATAATCCATGTGGTAAGCTTTGTTTCCTTTGAACAACAAAGAAACCCAGATAGGTGAACATTTCCCCCCCTCTAAATTAAAACCAAAAATTATGATAATTTCATCTAGCAACCTGTCTCCCTCCCCTGTGTCACACTCTCTATAATCCCAGAAATCCTTGTGCCCTGGTTCCCCGTTATTTAGAGCATTCATGTCATACAACAACTTCTAACACTATGCAGAGGCTTCCTCTCCGTATATCCAGGGTTAATTCCTCTTATGCTAAAATAAAGTTATTTGTGTACAAAAGTCCAGTATGACAGTGAATTAAAAGCTCACACCACCGAATGCAAGCTAGAGTTTTGCTTTCAATTCTGGGAAAAGCTTCTAAAGTCACCATTATTTAGTCTTCCTCCTTGCCTGTATTCTACCATGGCTAGGGGGGGAAACTTAGAACATTTTGTTATCTATAATGAGGGTACTAACAGTAATTAGAATGCTTTACTTAGATCAGGAATAAAAGGTAAAGGTAAAGGGACCCCTGACCATTAGGTCCAGTCATGGCAGACTCTGGGGCTGCGGCGCTCATCTCACTTTATTGGCCAAGGGAGCCAGCATACAGCTCATGTGGCCAGCATGACTAAGCTGCTTCTGGCGAACCAGAGCAGCGCATGGAAACGCCATTTACCTTCCCGCTGGAGCGGTACCTATTTATCTACTTGCACTTCGTGCTTTTGAACTGCTAGGTTGGCAGGAGCAGAGACCGAGCAACGGGAGCTCACCCCCGTCGCGGGGATTTGAACTGCCGACCTTCCGATCGGCAAGTCCTAGGCTCTGTGGTTTAACCACAGTGCCACCCATGTCCCTTAGATCAGGAATAAAGGTAAAGGTAAAGGTACCCCTGCCCATACGGGCCAGTCTTGACAGACTCTAGGGTTGTGCGCCCATCTCACTCAAGAGGCCGGGGGCCAGCGTTGTCCAGAGACACTTCCGGGTCACGTGGCCAGCGTGACATCGCTGCTCTGGCGAGCCAGAGCCGCACACGGAAACGTCGTTTACCTTCCCGCTAGTAAGCGGTCCCTATTTATCTACTTGCACCTGGGGTTGCTTTCGAACTGCTAGATTGGCAGGCGCTGGGACCGAGCAGCGGGAGCGCACCCTGCCACGGGGATTCGAACCGCCGACCTTTCGATCGGCAAGCCCTAGGCACTGAGGCTTTTACCCACAGCGCCACCCAGCTTCAAATCCCCATTCAGCCACAAAGCTTCATAGGTGCTACTGGGCCAGCCACATACTCTCAGCCCGGAACCCATCACAGCATTGTTGTGTAGATAAAAGACAAGGGGGGCATACACAATGGCAAGGATAACGTTTCTGTTTCTTTTAAATAACAACAGTGGGATGATGAAGTCTGAGACATCACCTGTGCATATCCCTTAAGACAACTGGTTACCAAAACACTCTTTAGAAAGCAATTGGCTTTAGGTGTGCTATTGTGATTAAGTCTGGTATATACCTCAAAAAGACACAGGTGGCTTTATCAAAGGTGTCAGTGCTCTGAGTTCTCCCTGCACTGCAGCATGGGAAGTCCTATCAGGGAGACCTTACCAGGTAACTCAGGTGCAAGGCAAAGGGTGACCAGGAATGTTTTCTGAGGTGTGGTGATTTTCTAGGCAAAATTATTTGGATCTCTGTTTTCTAAACACATGCTAGTAGTAGCATGCTA